ATGAATATAAAAATTATCCCAATAACACGCACGTTACCAAACAATACTGTTTGACTCCCCAGCTTGGTGAATAGTGGTGTGGTAAGAGTGACTAAATGTCTTTAATTTTCCCACCATAAATAGTCTAATAATATGATTTTCTATCAGTATAAGGTAAACATTACTGTCACTTTACTACTAATAGTATCCAAGTTTGGATACTCAAAGTCGATGATTAATGTAGCAATGATTACTCAGGTTTCCATCACATTCGGATCTGTGAAATATAAAATAACGCTTTAGTCATTTGCTTCGGTAGGCCTTGAAAAACTAATAATCTTTAAGCATTTCAACAACCAACCATTTTTGTTTGGTATTAGTTAGGATGAACCACTATCCAAACATTTGAGTTGGTCGTTGGTTTGGGATTCCCGACTTTATGTATAAATACTCGGATGACTAGTCGTTGTGACAGATATTGGCATGATATATCGCAGTATTTTGCTGAATACTAGCAAGAAATTGGTTATCATCCGTTTTTAGCCGTTTGGAAATAAAAAAAGTGTAAAGCCAGTTAATCATCATCAACGTAGAATCTGGTAGAAATTCTCATTACCCCGAAATACCATAAGGCGTCCGCACGCTGAGATGAGATTAACAAGATGGGAAGCAGGAGAGACTGGAACAATGTAATAGCAGTACCACTGGATCAAAGTCCTGAGAATGTAGATCCGACGTGACGACAGGTCGTATTAACTCTCTATGTGCCATTATAGCGATGATTGACCTTCAGTCAGGATAGTAGGTCGGTGGACCTGTGTTTATTCTTGCAGCCTATTTTCCAGTGAAGATTTAGCTTAGCATTGAAATGTTCACTGATGAGACTGATGCCATTTGCTTGGGTAAGACTTCTTCATGATCCAGTCGAACACCATAGTAGAGAGCTAGACTGCTAATTTTCTGTAGACTAAACAACAAACAATCGATTTTCTTTTGGTATCAAGAGTGAAATTGGTCTTTTTCTATTTGAACAGGAAATACATGGTATCTTTGCTTGTTTGAATCTGGTGACGATTTTACTTTGAGTTGTTTTACAACTCGTCAACCTATTCCACTATTTGTGCAACTATGGTTGTACACCTTGTTTACTTTTACTAACATCAGAGCCATTGAAATGTTAGGAATTTTGAATAGTTTAATAGATCCTGAAGTTAAAATGGTGATGCACTTTGAATCGCTTCCTGAAGAATAGAGTTTTATTGCTTGAACTCAGTATGTTAAAGTATTCTGAAGGACTAATTGTAAATAGACACATTTCTAATGTTACTGGCTTGTATTATCAACTCTAAGATTAGTATGATAGCTAGAAGGGGATCAGCCATAGTTTTGTACTTCAAGGTTCATTAGATACGGGGATCCCTTGAATTTGCTGTTAAACAAAACTGTCAAATTTTTATTCTTACCGTAATCAACTCTTGTTCCCGAAACCTGAAGTTTGCTACCTATTTTCTCACTGGATACACGGGTCTTGATCAATTCATTTTAAAACATATTAAAGCCTTTGTGTTTAGCTAATTAGTTTCCACTAAGATTTTATTAAACTATATGGCGTATCTCGCCAAAACAAATTGCTATCCCTTTTCTAACCAGTCTATGTAACTCATTCTTCATAATCTATTCCAAACAAAATAGAATCAGTTTATATATTAAGAAGATAAACCCTCTCTGAAAAGATTTCTCTTTGAAATGCTTGACTTTATATAACTATGATCAATGATACGTAAATGGAACTCGACTGTGCTATCAGTTAACTTCTATATCGAGTGTGAGACAATTCTGCTGACGTCAGTAAGTGACTTGTAATCGATTATTCCATTAGAAGAAATCTCAGGTTTATGTTGTGTGATAGGTTAGTTAACATTCTATAATAACAGATCACTTTGTATCGTAAAACCGTTGCTAAGACCTTTAGTGACATATTCGTACGCAGAACGGAAATGTTTGGCAATTTGAAAAGTACGCTTAGGATTTTGTATGAGTTATTTACCGAAACTATAATAATAAGCCTTTGTTTGAGGCTTTGGTATAAAATCTCTTATTGTCCAGTTCAAAGCACGAGGTAGTTTGCTGAACTGTGTGATTTCATGTCAGTTGTAAACAATTTTTCAGTAGTCTTGGTTTGTCGAATAAAGCAAGAAGTTATCTTTGTATTCACTCAGTATTCTCTAATGGGTCATAGGCTTCTCTATCAATGGAATTTGTAAATGGGCTAAAGTGTTATCTTCCTTGGAATTAGGGTAAATTCCAAGCCTTGAAACAGTCTAGGTAATCGTCCAATTCCAAAGGTAACGCTACGATAGGTAACTTCCCAATATTTTTAGAATCCAGGTTATCCGCTACTGCAGATGTGTTATGAATAGGCTAACGAATTGCTATTTATTCCAAATAGGCTCGAGCTTCGATAAGACCCAATCAAGAAGTTGAATCTAAGATGTTCAAAAGGAGATCGTAATTTTTTATTATAACAGATTAACACAACGTTAAGCATTTATTCACACATTAACTGTGTTAACTATTCATCTAAGTACAAATAAATATTTTTAGGCGTTTTGAATACTTGTCTGAAATTAAGTCCTTTTATTATTTCAGGTGGCAATATAGATACTGATTTTTAAAGGTAATTATGTTAGCAACTATCTTACAGTCTACAGGTCCTCCTTTCAAATGAGTGTGGTGTCGGTAAATAAAAATTTAAAATTCACTAAGCTTTAAAAAATGGTATTTACCATGATATGTAATGTATTTGTAATATCCCAATGAGTATAAAACATGAGATTTTCTGACGTTTCGTGATTCAGTGTAGGCCACTTCTTCAGACAGTAAATAGCCAAATTAAAATTATTCCAAGTATAAATAGTTGTTCCTTCGTACCATTTAAACTTGGATTAATTTTGATTTGATTACTTACTCTCTGAAGAAATAGCTTACACTGAGATACGAAACTTCAGAAAATCTACTCATTTGGATGCCACAAATATTTTAATAGTTGATGTCGTGATTTAACTGAAGCTAGAACACCATGGAAAACCTGGAAGCACTGGACGGCCGTTTCGTCTTATGTGGCACTTCTCAACAGTGCGCTTCCACAATCTTGCCTCGCAAGATTCGAACACAGGAACGATCGGTCTCGCACGCGAACGCTTAACCTCTAGACAACTGGGCCGGCATGCAACGGTGTTAATGTATAACTTCAACTAATTCACGAAATTGGGCGATACATCCACCGCAGAGGAGTCCCATAATAGGACGAAACGGCCGTCCAGTGCTTCCAGGTTTTCCATAGTGGTCTAGCTTCAAGTGACTCATGATCTCAACTGTTCAAATTACTATTATATCCACAAAACCCCTTCTTATATTAAAACTATATTATTATATTTATATCTACCCAATGCTCAATTTATTCGGAATTATCAAGTCAAACCTTGGTCATGATACTCACTGTGGTTTTATTTAGAGAAGTTAGAAATTATTTCATATTAAGGAATACGTGTTCAAGCCTACCCAACTTAGTTATCAGCAAGATTTACCCATTTATAAAATGTACTGTCATAAGCAATTCCAAGTTTTTACATCAAGCTGTCACTTACGTTTTAGAAACTAAGTAAACGCTTGGAATAATTTGTGAATTATTTCTGTTGTTGTTATTCCATTCTTATAACTGTGTCACAGGTGAAACATGGAAAACGCATCCTATTGAAGTTTTTCAGAAGAGATTAAGTTCTAACATTAAGAAAACTGAGACGACTTCAAAGTCAGTCATGTAAGTTTTGCTATTGTCTACAAAAGCTGTTTCTTAACAACACGTTGCTTCTGCAGAATGCATCACGGATTGCAATAAAATGCCTTTTTAATTTAATGATGGCGAGTAGGTGAAACGTAAGTGCAAGTATAAGAAACTCTTGATTTCAATGCATAGAAAGTGGTAGAAAATGTAAGCGGTTTTTATAAGCATTGCGTAGATTATTGAATAGATCCCATTCCCGCCGTCGAATATTCATTGAATTCGCTCGCTACTTCAGTTGAAGAATAACATTTTTCTACAATGCAAAACAAATAAGTGAAAGCAACATTTAGGTAGGATTCAGTATCAAAGAGGCGAATTCTCAAGTTCTTGTTATAAATAGACAAAAATATCATTTCTTTAGGTGTTAACTTACATAAACCATAGAAAACGTAAATATATTGTGTGAGTTACTTAAAGTAAATTATTTCACGCTTAGCATTGTTTTGTAAATGCTGCATTTAAGGATTACAGTTCTATAGCCAACCAGCATGACAGCGATGCTGCCTTCCCACAAGGAGGCGTGTGGTTAGAATAGGTTGACGCTAAAAATGCATACCTTGGCTTATCCGATGGATATCCGTCTCTGGAGGTAAGACTCAACAATTGCGGAGCTAACACAAAATTACTCACACGAAGGTCGTGTGTGACTGACCCCTCATGTAGTTGTCCCTTGGGCACTGCGGTCACGCTCTTAGGTCACTAAGACCACCTCTAATCGAATTTCCTTTTCAGGCACCTCCAGAAGAACTCTTCCACAGTGTAAGCAACCGGGATGTGATAATCGCCCGAATATTTTTAACACCACTCAAGACCTTTACTTTTATTTTCTGTCAACACCATGAATAGGGTTTTTAGGCCTTCTTAATTATATCAATAGAATCCAATAAGTAGGCTAAATTCATTTTGTTTGTAGTATAGATCTTGTCAATTTGCCGATTTTAGCTCATAAATGTCAACCTGTTAGGTCTCATAGGAACGAATAAAAGACGCGAACAGACAACAGCATCTATTAGGGAAATACGGAGTTGGGGTAATTAGATGTTCTGAGATTGCTATGTAGTTGACTTAACCCTGTTAAATTCACTTAGATATCCATCTTTCATATTTTCTTCAAAATTAGGAGTTTTATCGACGACAAGATGAACATATTCGTGAATTGGAGAAGATCGCAACTATTATGGAGGCAGAAATATCCGATGTAGAAGTAACCTCTAATCATCATTCTATTAGGCGGCAAACGCGAATTAATACAATGATTATTGGTGTTGTATTTTGTGCCAACGTGGTAAGTATAATATCAGTAATAATTAGTTTACGAACATTACTAAAACGGAAAGGAAAGAAATTTCATTCTAATGCAGAATGAACTATCCTTGGTAAATTCTAATAAGTTATTAATGCTCAGCGTTACATGTTTTCATCTAGCTATTGTAACATAGGAAAATTATTTAGAATATATGATAAGTTTACAAACTAGTGATCTGTCATCTGGTGTTTCGATTGATCTTAGTTCACCATCTGCAGATTTTGCATCTGCTTTATTACTTTCGCTTTAAGCAATACCCGTTTAACTAAGACTAATGATTTCAAATAACCAGTCATTCATAACGAACGCAAAATGTTAATTTCTAGTAATATAAGTTTAGTGGTTTACGGATCGTAAACATCAAATCGTTTTTTTCCATAGCATAAGGCTGATGACTAAGATTAAAACAATCATTTGTTACTGAAGTGCCGTGTAAATTTGTTACCATTTCAGTGAATATAGGAGATTAAGTTTACTGGTGTCTTGGATTAAGCAACCAATTTTCTATGAGTTCACCCTCTTCGAAACAACGAATTAGTAAAACCTCTTTTCTAATTTTTTACGCTAGACGTTTGGTTTTATTTTGATATAATTCCTACACTAATTTATTTTTCTTACGTTTTATGAATGTGACACTTTTTCACCATGAAATCGACTTATATTTTATTCAGTGAAACTTTAAATGAAAAATATAATTTTCTAATAGTGTTATTATTTGTCTAACGATTTTACATTGTATGTATGTAAATAACTTGATAACTTTAACTATCATATTGCCCATTTGGAATTACATCAATATAGGTACTTTTATTGGGTAAAGCTGTAGCATCTGCATTATCAGGGTCATTAGCAATCATATCATCTTTGTTAGATAGTTGTGTCGATTTGGCTTCCGGTGGAATCATGTGGTTTGCTGCTCGTCAAATGCGTAAAAGGAAGCCATACAAATACCCAGAAGGTAATTTAGTTTAAAAATATTTTAACTGTTCATAAAATGATCTACGGTCTGTAGGCTGGTTAGTTTAAACTGTTATTACAGTTGTTTTAAGTGGTCTTTTAAATACGACATGCATTTGATTCCACTAACAGTATGAATGACTCTCAAAATATGGACTGGTGAATGATGTGTTGAAAGAATTCTGCACATTTTAAACATTTGTCAACATATAACTTTTCTGCGACTAACTTTGGCAATCTTTTAGCGTTCTCGTTTTTTGAATGGTGTTTTATACATCGATATTAATTCTCAAATCATCACTTCATCTAGTTATCGAACAAAAGTTGTGAATGTATTCGATTTTAATTGAACACCATCATCTATTTACTGTTAGTATCTATTTACAAGCTTTACTTAATTAGACTGATTATTTCCGAAACTACTGAAATGTTCAGATATAGTATGATAAAAAAATAAAAACATATCTTAACAATTTACTTCTAAATTGTTTAAGAAAAAGTGCATATATTTCAGTAATTAGTTACCAAATTTTAACACAATATAAAATCAAGTTATGAGTCCAGTCACCAAGAAGTTATAAACAGTGACATCCGATAACAAAAATTATCGCAGTCACATTGAAGTGAACGAGAACTCAGGTGAGGTACACCAATTGATTGTCTAATGCAAACTTACGAAGTGCCTTCGAATAATATGAAAACGATACATTGAATACATAATTTGCACTTTTTCAGTTGTCCTTCCTGTTTTCTTTAATTTAATCTGCTCAACCCGTTGCTGGCAGGCATCTCATTACCGATTGCTCCTACATGCTACTTGTATCCGTAAGCGTAAGTAACATGCATCACAGCGTGTTGTTAATCATTTGTTCTCTCTATTCAGTCTTACGTATGTGATTGCATGAGCTCTTAAATGGTTGAATGTGAATTATCATCATCATCATCATTTAGCTATGTTGTTAAACCAGATGATTGTAATAATTACTTAAGATCTTAGTGTACATTTCTAAGATACTTATTATTTGTGCTTTACAATTATTAAATTTACTGAAATATTTATCAATCATTTTTATTCTAATGTTGGCTTTTTGAAAATCATCTGAAAGTGAAAGAGAAATAAGATCTCTAAAATGCTGTTATTTTATTTTCTTCTTAGGGAGAACACGACTTGAACCATTAGCAGTGATTGTACTCTCTGTATTTATGGGTAGTATATCTATACAACTTTTAGCTGAATCTGTACAAGCCATTGTTCGTATGTCGCAAAATAATCAAGAGGCACCAAACGTTAATGATTTAGCATTGGGAATAATGGCATCCGTAATTGGTAAGAATTATATATAATGTTCATAAATTGTGTTTTCAAACTTCATTTGAAAAGCTGTGACATAAACCCACAAAATACCTGTTGACTAGTAGCCAATATTTCATTCACTTTACCTATTGTCAATTTAATTGTCTTATATAGCACAAAAGATATAATCAGAGAGTTGAACGTATCCACTAAGTCTCTTTTGTCATATTTTTTGAAGTCACTATATCATATCATGTTTTCTTCCCTACTAATAATAATTCCCATGTGTTACTTGTGGTCATATACACTATTCCTCTATCGATTGAGCTTATACGAATCTACAAAATATTGTAGTTAGTTTTCTGTGTTAAACTGAACTATTTTATGAACATTGTGCACAAAATCACATTCATAAAACACTTTGTCTATAAAGATTAGTGGCTATGCGAAATATCTAAAATACATGAAATGCAATGAATTTCCACTGTGTCATTGAAGAATAAATATAGCCAATGTATCAAAGTAACTCTGTTTTGTGGCGATATTACTTACTGAAGCTGTGTAATCATATTTGTAGTTCATCAGTAAATTATATTAGTATACTTCCTACACAAAGAAAGCTCTTTATAACTTCATTCTCGAGCATTACTCTGGTTGGTTATCAAAGGGATTATTCCGAATTACTAATGAGCTATTATCAAATGTAATTATTCTGTTTTTCATATTCATCAAATGTATAGTCATCTTTCTCTAATAAACTATTCTTATGTTAACATTTTTCATTAGCCGTTACATCGTTGCACAACTTCACTTTCGTGTTTAATGTTTATCAACAATTTATAACTCAATACTACCGAATGTTTACAATTTTTTTATATTCTTCAAGTTAACAATTATCTTTTATCAGTAATCTATTTTTACTTTGATCTGTTACATACTCTTTTTATACTTCAGAAAACTAATATATATATATATATATATATATATATATATATATATATATATATATATATATATATATATATATATATATATATATATATATATATATATATATATAGCTTACAAAACATTCAAATAATCAGGAATCAAAAGTAATTATGGATGGTCAACGTGTGCGTATGAACAGATACTAAGGGAAGAAAATAGGACAGTACGATGGTTATACATAAGTTCATGACCTTTTGAAACGGGTGTATATATCGCTCAAGTTCTTAAATGATTGCAGTAGACTAGCGGGATTTCTCCTACATTTTATTGTAGACAACTAGTAATCACTGACGAATTAGTTAATCACCTACTGACGTTTTAACTACATACTGGTTACCTTAAGATGGATACTATCCTCCAGTTTATAAAAAGTTCAGTAATCCCCAACTCCATGCCTACATTACTTGAAATTTAGAGTTGTATTTCTCTGGAAAAATAATTGATAAAGTTAGTCTATCTCTTTGCTTTATTACTTAATTAACTGATTGAATGATAAATTTACTGGCCCTTTTCGCATTTATTATCATTTATAGTGACTAAACTAATCTTATGGATCATTTGCTTTAAATTTGGTGGTGGAATGGCTATCGATGCGCTTAAAACCGATCAACGTAACGATATACTTACGAATGCTGCATCAATCTTATTTAGTGGTCTTGCTGGACGTTTACGTAAGAGTTTCTACTATTTCACTATTTTCTAATAACATTTTAAACTCATCATTATTTCCATAAATAAAATTGATATCTACACTCCAGAAGATTGGATAAACATGTGTTACGTTGGATGCCATCTCAGTGGTCTAGGAGGCCGAATGTCCTGAGTTCAATTTCTAGATAAGGAGTAGTGGGTGCGCATTGATGATGTATTGCATGCTAGGGCGAAACGGCTGTCCAGACCTTCGACGGTTTATATGAAGGTTAGATGAATTTGTGGGAATATGGTTTTATCTGCTGTGTTGTTGATTGCTCTGCTTAAACTTTCTGCATCTAGTAACTGTTGTAAGAGAGCAACTAGTCATTGGTTCAGAATTGTTTATATAAGTCACTATGCCATAGAAACAAGCTAGTTCTTGAGGTCAGAAATATAAGCTAATATTTATGCTTTAACACAATACCACAGTCCTTCATCAAATAGTTTATTGCTTCCAGATGATGCCTCACAGCATTATTAACATTGTGAGAAATACACTCTGAAAACAATTTATAAACAACATCTCAAATAATTTAACATTAAATATCCATCCATCACATGTACCATGATTTTCTGAATCAAGCTGATCATGTCGGTATAGGGTTATGGATACCAAGCCTGTAGCTTGTTTCATGAGCTATAACTTTTTATTGGTATTGTTGTGCAAAGTCTTTTTACTCGTATGCTTTCTCTATCATTCCTCACTACGTCTTGTTATTTTGCCTAGACATATCCTAAGAATTTTGTGTTCAAATAAGAGTTGTATATATCTAATCCACGTTTTTAATCATGAGTCTTAGTTATTGTTCGAGAGCAAGGTAGATATCATCCAAACTTCCGAAATGAAGCAAATTAGGTAGTATAGCTATTCTGATCAATTGATTGAGCATAATACCGTGCTTCAACCCATTGATCTCGCAGGCATTGTAGATAGTTATTTTGAGCTTTATCGATCATTATCTATTTTATGTAGATTTTGGAGAAACAAATTATAATAATAATTATTATTAATAATTAATGGCTTTATTCAATATTATATTTTGGTACAATATAGAATTCTCAGCACAGCGTATTTCAACAAGTTTCTTGTACAAAAAAGAAACAGAAAAAAAGCCAAAAGAAGGTAAAAAGGAAAACTGTACAACTTTTCAAATTAGAGACATGTTAAGAATGCAGGTTATTGACTAGGTTAACTCTAACAATCTGTTCGTCACAGAGTATATTTGCCATGTAAGGTATTATAGAACTTTTATACTTTTGCTTGTGAGGTTGGATCACATAAATTGTTTCGCTCAAATGTGTATGAGAAATCTATCAACTTGAAGATTGCTCCTATCACTAAATAACGTTAGCTGAAAAACTAATAAAAACTATGAAAAGCTAACAGTCGCTATGACCTAGTCTTGAGATTTTTATCATTTATAAACTTCTCACTCGACATTCGCGAATCCATCACAAAAGTCAAAATCACTGATAATTATTTGTTAGTTTATTCAAGGAAATTCTTTATAATATCTAGCAACAATTGTCTGTTCGGACAAATTGATGATTACTGCGAGTTTCATGTGAATTTTATGTTCAGCGATGTTGTTAATTATTAAGGAATAGTAATTCTGGGTTTCTATTTACTCAGTTCTAATCACTGTAAAATAAATGAACAACATTCATTACAGCTCCTTTACTACGACAAAGTAAGTTTTTTAATTATCGATGCTGATTATACATATATATCATCAATCAATATCACTATTTTCCTCATCGTATCTTCATTGCATTGTCATGTTCTAATTTTCACTTGCTCCTTTACGCACGACATCCAGTTTTACCGTTATGATATTTGCCATAGATCTGTTTATATTTGTGGTGCTACCAACAAACTATTACTGCTTTGAATTTGTCCATGTTTTCAATTATAATCGTTTATATAGTAGATTTGTGAATGTTTTCACTTTCATTGAAATCATCAATTTTTTTATTAATCTTATCAAGTTATCTGTTTCTTTGATACTTTATATGATTAATATATATTCTGTGTTGAAATATACCTAATATATTTCTGATGAAGATGTATAAACTGCCTGTAACAGTCATCATGAATTTGTTAAAAACAAAAGTATTTACCTTTAATGACGATTTCTCACCTTTTCTGTCATTTATATAATACATATATCTAATAAAGCTTATAATTAATATGATCTTATGTAACTGAAACCGAATATTTGTTACGTAATATAAAGCAATGTTATAAGATGCTTGGATAAAAAGAATGTGTAAATTCAACTCACTAGACTACTACATGCGAGTAGCATTAATTCATTTTAGGTAATGAGTTTATATAGAAAGTGAACAAATAATAATAGCTAATCAGATAGGGAACCATAAAATCCATATAATTTAGATCATAATTTACCATTGTTCGTTTTTATAAAAGAAATTTCTCATTTATTTACATCATTGTAAGTTAAATGTGTTGATTTGATTAAATGAAAATAGTTAAAACAAAAGCAACATTTAAAATAGTCCGACCCACTATTTCTAATAATTTTTAGTTGTAAGTAGGTTAATAAAAGCAAACTGGTTGTGCTAGTTTGAATGTTAACATGTGATACAACCAAGTCACCATGAAAAGCTCTACGAAATGTATGATACGCTTTTTCCTGATTTTCTCTTCTATTCACGTTTCTTTTTACTTTGTTACATTTATTTCAATACTGAACAACATGGTTGCCAATGACTACAAGTTATTTCAACAGTGAAGATTTATGAAACAGAATATTCTGTAGACAGACACAAGCTATTTATTAATCATATAATTTACTTAATGAACCAACGGATCACTAAATGAATTCATTGTTTCCTTGTTCTATTTGTTTAACACTTAATTATTTTATACAGTGAACATGATTTATATTTCTTGTTTTCAATAAAGAACAATTTGAAGGGGTTTTCACATTTTTAATGAGTACAAAAACATTGGAAAATACTAATAAAAATGTATAACTTAAGTGAATAAATTTAGATAATGTAGAATGAAGACGAAGATTACTATACTATCGAAATTTTTCAAAGGAGCTAATTGCTTTAAATTTGAATAAATTTAAATAATCGTTCGATTTTGTTTCACTTGAGTTTTATTTTTCTGCTGGAAATTAGTTCATTGTCATGCAAATAATCACTGGCCTTCAAAATGTATTTGAATATTAAGGTTGACTCAAAAATATTGATTTTTGCACAGAAATTAAATTTGTGAAACAAACGTTGAAACATGGAAAATTGTTATATAAATTCTCATATGCTACTTTAAAACGTTCTTTTTGAGTAGATCACATGTATTTTTAAATCTCTCACCGCTTTTGCTTTTATTTAAACTGGAATTAATAAAAATCTTGAATAAGACAATGTGGGACACAGTGAGTTTGCTTAACGTATTTTCAAAAATCTTTAATCAGAACTAGTAAATTAAATATCGTAGGGATATAAAATGTAATTTATTGTATTACCGTTGCGACGTAACTCAGATTTTATGTCATTGAATTATATAAATCTGACGAAAGTATGTTTATGGAAAAAGATCATTCTTTTATCCAATCGAAATGTTTCATAATAATCTAAAGATAGATCAACCGGAAATGTTGATGTCAGATATTGGCAAACAATATTTAAAGGACTCAAAAAGAAATTCTAAGTGACATTTTAGATTATGAGCTTCAGTCACCGGGAAAACGTCAATAGATAATGGAATGAAAAGTTTGTACATTTTTTATCTGTTCAGTTTTTCATTTAAATTTAAAAATAAATTAATTTCATTAAAATTAGCATGTGAGCAGAGTTTTATTTTTAATGTAGACTGATCATGCATTTACTTAGTGTATTAATCCATCTGATATGAATGTGCATTTTCATTTTACAATGTTGTAATTGTTTCAACAACTCGTTGTTCATTATGAATTTATTTGGTCAAAGTAATCGATTGTTTTTACAATGTTATCTATTCATTAAAAATGCTACAAAGATCAATTTTTCACTGTACAATTATATATATATGAACTGACTCGATTTATTCTCTTTTTCCTATTTATAGAACAATACGAAAATCTTAAGTATTTAGATCCCGTTGGAGCTATACTTATTGGTTCTTATATTTTGTATTCTTGGTATCAACTTGGTGCCGGTAAGTTGACGATTATTACAAAATATTATTTTCCATTCATATATAAAACTTTCAATAGAGTTTCGTTGTGCCTAGCCAGACTCTTCCTATTTTGAATTCATCAGTTGGATACATATGCACACCAATCTTGATGTTCATGCCTTATGACTAAAGCGCTCGACACCTTGTCCACTTAGTTACTGATTCCATTTACCCATTGACTTGTGACACTGTGCGTTCAAAGAGAAAGGAATCGGGTTCGAGTCTGTGTGTCAACACGTACACTGAGATACAGCTACATTCAATTCATGAATCTCAAACAGGACAAAACACATGTTATGCATTCTACCCCTGACCAATATCAAGCATTCCGAAAATTGCTTTTGACCTAATAAAAATATTTAGGAGATCCTATCAGGATTTACTTTTGCCCAGAAAACCTGATTAATCTCAGTCGATATCAACTACAGGAAAATTCAAATGCTTATAGAAAAAACGTAGAAGTTCTTTATTTGTAAAAGGATATGAGTATAGTTACGTTTCAGCTTGTCAAAAATCGCTTTTTCGTGACGTACATTATGCCTAGTTTTCGTGAAGCACCTATAAATGAATGAAGTATTTTTCAAATGCGGGTTTATGATCACTTGAAATTGAAGTAATAAATTATTTCTATCGAATGATATAAAACGATTAAATAAACTACATTTGAATCGAAAATAAAGACTGATAAGTTGAGTCTGTATAACGACTTGTTGTAATGAATAAGTGAATAAGTATAAATGAAATATTTTGAGGATATATGCTTTATAGATCCTAAGATCATATGGATTAGGTCCAAGGGCAAATTTATCAGTTAAACAAACTTTGCATCGGCGTTACGTTTTTCTCCTCTCAAATATAAGATTTCAAGCTGTTTTAATCTCTCGAAATATTCTAAATCCAAGTTTGTTTATCCTTGTAAACAAACATAAAATTATTAGGTAGCTATTTTCTGATTCTTCAGATAGATTGGAATACTAAGATGCTTAAAATTTCTAACTAGATGAAATCTAATTTTTTTTTGGAAACAGTATGACAAAATGCTTTGAATTACTTTCAATGACAAAACATTACTTACTATTTAGCTAAATTTTGACAACATATTCCACTATTATAAATTTAATTTGAATATATATATATATATATATATATATATATATATATATATATATATATATATATATATATATATATATATTTGCTTCCTTAGAGTAACAAACGTCTTATTCACTTGGTTGAACTTATTCATCATCTCATAATGTCTGGGTCTTGTAAACGATTTTTATAAACAATGAATAGCAGAAAAATAAAGTACACAAAAACACTCTGGATAATAAACCAGTATTATCAGGGCAGGTTGAGGGTAAGAACAAATTGTTTTTGAACACATAAAGGAGATTCAGCTTCCGTATAGCCAAGGCTTCAATAAATCTTAGAATACGCCCTTGAAGGCTTTTGTACAACACTACGAAGTCTGACTTGTTATCAACCTTATAATCAGTCTCAGCCAAATGTCTCGCAATTGAGGAAGAATTCGGTCTATCACGTGATCTTATTTGGCCATCGGAATTCATTTTTTTCTGCAGCCATTTGCGTATGCTGTTTTGGTTTTCGGTGAAACATAGACCTTGTGTTTTCAATAATGACAAGTTGGGCTGCATAAAATGTCTTGTTGACGGTTAACTTAAGTCTCCGTTTGGACATGAGATTATTTGAGTCGCCTCTAAGTGGTAACATAACGTCAAGTGGCTTTTTAGATTCCATAAGTGGTTAGTATATTGTTTTTGTGTACTTTATTATTCTTTGTTACTGCCTCCCTTTAATCCGTCTAGTTAACCTCTTGCTTTTCGTATAAAAATGTCCTAACAAGTATATGTATGATCAGATTGCGGAAATATACCGCGTAATTCCGATAATCTTAGTCTTCTGATCGCATTATCGAAATTTATCAAAGTGACTAACTGTTTTGAATAGAATAAGCTTAATTTTTGTAAAGCGAGAATAACAAACATTGTGGCACGAAGTGAATTCATCTTCAACACACGCATCGATTTAGATAAATAAACAAAATATTTCGGTAAATGTAATTTTGTGTGTAATATATATAAAGTAATTTAGTTCACTAGTGAGAAAATAATCGTAAATACTTTCTATATTCCTACAAGTTCAAAATATTGAACAGATGATAATGAACGGATTGACTGAAAGGGAGACCAAGATGTAATTGAGTATAACAAATATGTACAAAATTGTTATGATGATACTGTACAGCCTTTTTCACCCCTATTTAATCACAATAATACTTTCATTGTTCACTTTGGTGAAATTTTCATTTCTAATTTATGGTTATTATAACTAAATCGATGCGTATGAATTCACTTCACCCCACAATGTTTGTTATTCTTGCTTGACAAGAGTTTATTGTGGCTACTAATTACGGAAGGAAATTATTTATCAATATGAACGTCTTACATGTTTTCTTCAAATCACACTAATGGTAAATCTATGCTAATGTCATTACTAATTCAACCACTCTATCATTATCATGTGTTTTTATTGGCATTAACAGATCTTCAGCATTATTGGTTTGCAAAACCATGAATGTCTATTATATTCTAGCTCAAATACCTAAATGGTGTATGTTATTAGTTTGATTATTTAGTTCCAGAATAATAATTTAATAATATGATTAAGGCTTTATTATTTAATATAATTTTCTCATCTGAACTGGAAATTGTACAGATTATGTTTGAGAAATACACTGACGCATTTTATAAGATTCGAAGTTCTTTAAATCTTATTGGTAGAAGAATACATATTCAACTTCTTAGTGTATAAAACTACAGTTCATCCTAGCTATTTCGATAGATAATAATGTTTAAAAATCTCCATCAAATTATATCACTTATGTATGAACGAAGAATATTCTCTTCACTTATTATTCAGTTTGTAGGTGTCAATGCCAAAATGAGACTTGATATTTTTTAATCAATAGATCATTGAGTAGAAAGTTAGTAAAACAAGCATACATTTTTCTGATATCCCAATGAGTAGAAAATTGTATTTCTAGTGTATTATTTGAACTTGTGTTAATTTATTCTGGGTTATTTATTTACTCAGAAGAAGTGGCTTACATTAAGTCACGAATCACCGGAAATATAATTTTCTTATTGGGATATCGCGAAAATATATTTGTTATTAGGTTCTCTTCAATTTGTACAGTTCTACATCCCAATCGATAATTAAATGGGTGGCCAGGTTTAAGACAAAATACATTGTTTAAAGCATAGCATATGGACTTAGGATTGTTTACAAGAACAAATCCAATATTGAGATGACTATCGTAAAGTGATGACTTGAATAGGCTTATTCGTCAAGTCAAATTATGATATTGTCAGAATAAATTTGGGTCAGGTAACTCTTTCCGATTTACTGTCGGTCTCAAGCCCGGGTTAAGGAGGGGGTTGAGTATGGTGTCGGGAACCCCATCCCGTAGGAAAAAATCTTTCTAGAAAACGACAACTAGAATAAACAATTAAAACTGTGCCCTGGAAGTTGAAGGAAGAATCAAGACGTCTTAATATGAATGCCAAGATTCTTCGGAAGTCCCACTGTGGCTAAACAAAGGTCTAGTGGAAAAAATGAACAACTCGGTATTGGCCCATTCAGTGCAGACTGGTCATAGTACCAGTATAACTCCATCTTTTTTAATTGTTTATCGGGTCAGTAATTTTTTTCTAAAGTCAATCAGATAGTAATTTCTGATTGTGTGGTAAAATGAAAATTTAAAGGTGTTTGCAGAATTCGTTGATTTCTGATGTAATAATTTGTATTTTGTTATCTTCATTTACAACTTTCGTTTATCAAATTTGCAAGGAGGCCAGGCATAATTCACAAACGTTGTTATGTAATATACGTACTGAATTCTACATTATTAAATGAATGTAATTTTTCAGTCATAAAATGACTTCTGAATCGTAATAATCTTTTTTTTAGAACAGATACGTAATCTAGCTGGTCATACAGCTAATCCAAGGTTTATTCAAAAGATTGCATTCGTTTGTCTTAATTATCATCCGTTGATTGAACAATTGGATACCATTAGGGCATTTCATTTTGGTGAAAACTTCTTGGTTGAAGTAAGTAACTTTTTAAAAAACTTTTTTTTTCATTCACGTTTACCTTTTAGTACACTACTCTCGATGGCAGAAATAATTTAATTCACTTTATTTGGTAACATTAATCAGGAATATATTAGTTTGTCTGATCGATATTTAACTGAGAGTTCACACTTTTTGGTTTCACTCCTGTTATAACATGTGGCTTGTGTGCCCCGCTGTTGTATAAAATAACGATACCGCCAATTAGAGAGCAGTGAATTATCGATCGGACCAATGACGCGTAAAACCCGTAGAGCAGTCTAGAACCCTGATTGGTCCTGCTTTCCATCTAGCCCAGCCAGTTAAGTCCAGAACACCAATCTCAACCTCTGTGATATGAATCATTTTATTTCAAACATACTGAGTTTATATACCAATCAAACAGACCACAACGTACCAATAAAATATGAAACAACATTCTTACACGAATTAGCCAGATGTGGCTGTGAATGTGGGAGGTAATGATTAATAGACAGAGCATAATTCAAGAATGGTAGATCGTATAATAATAGTTCATAGGTCAAAATAAAGCTTATAATAAGAGGGACATGAATATCAATAGTTTAGTTATTTAACAATTATACGATAAAAAATATACGTTTAGTATTGGTCCATCAATGGATCCCAAAAGTTACCATTCATTATGCTTATCGATCAGTTCATCCTGTTTACTTTGTTTATGACTGAGTTTTCTTTTCGTTTTTTGTTATCTTCAAATGTCTTTGTATTCCTGTTGTGATATCATATTCGATATTTAAGTACTGAGTAGCTGTAGGTAGTTTGTGTACTGGTTATAAATACTTTTCTTATCACAGGATGAATAATTGTTTATCTATTAAATTAAGAATCAGAATTATACGTAAATAGAAACTAGTTTAAGCAAATATGTTGGATTACATGAGGCTATTGAAAATACTACACCGTTTAAATAAACATTGCTTGTTAGTGACAAAGAATGACTTTAAGTCCATCATAATTACTTTATGTTAAAAAGTCGGTCATGTGAAAGAAATGCAGAAACCAAGGATAAAAATTATTTGTTTACAACAAAACATGGATTTTTTCTACGTTTTGTCCTTAGATTTCCGTTGAAATCTCTTTTAGTTCAGTTTTTACATATTTTTCTGTTATCTTTCTCAGTGTTTTCAAAATCTACGTCTTGTTTTAATTGTTGGCTCACTGTATTGTTAGTCAGATTTTCTGAATATATATATGTATATATAACTCATTTTTCTTTCGAATTACTTATTGATTCATCAGTTGCCCTGTTACTTTTCATTTCTTATTCATTAGGTTGACATTGTGTTACCTAAAGAAATGTGTCTTAAAGAAGCTCATGATATTGGTGAAGGGTTACAAAAGAAATTGGAAAAATTAGAAACAGTTGAACGAGCTTTTGTACACTTAGATTATGAATTTTCACATCGTCCAGAAACTGAGCATAAAATAGTTTAAAGAAGAAGAAAGAAATTTCATTGTATCCTTTTTTAGTCAATTTAAAGTGTACACATACATAACCATTTATTACATGTTCCAACATAAAACAAAAGAAATTGACGATTTATTATATTATTTAATATAAATATTGATGACTATGAATACACCATGTATCTACAATAGCTTGCCAGATTTTTTTCATTATTCATTTCGTTTCAGATACTTTCATGCTCTGTTTCTTTGTTTAGTTATTACATCTATTTTATATTTGACCGACACATATATATTTTCTGTTCAAATTTACAAGAATACAATCAATACTAACATTCTGTATTATTTTATAGTAAACAATAATCAGCCAAATAAAACTAATAGTTATTTTGTTAATTAATTTATAAAATCCAATGAAAACTGATATCTTTTTTTAACAACAAAGACAATCTATGCCAATATAAACCATTAGCTCCAAATTAATTATTATTATTATTATTGATATTGAAACTATTGACTTCATATTATTGTTTATCCATTGTTTTACTATATATATATATATATATATATATATATATATATATATGATGGATAAGCTTGTTCATCAGAGTTTATATTTCTTGAAATTCTCGCTAGACCATAGAGGCTTTTTTTGTTATAAAGAAAAAAATTAATAGAAGGTAATTCAAATGTTAATATGAGTTTGTGTGTTTGTTTGTTTTTGTTTAATTTCGTTATTTTGTTTACTTTCACTGTTTATCTGAATAGCCCATATTATCATTAGCATTATTATTATTTAAAATAAATACTACCGGGTTTTTCATTATTTTTTTTCCTCTTTCATTCATATAACTTGGTACAATAATGATTTTTAATGATTATTTAGTTATTTTTTTAATTAGTTTATAAGGTGTACATAATTTATTATGATTGTTGACTGACTTTTATTTCTCAACTAAACAATAAAAAAAGAATAAATTGATTTGTGTTATTTTCTTGAATATATTAAGAATAATCTTTCTACTGTTTCAGTTTTATGATATTTATTTTTATGTTGAGATGTTTACTCTTCTAAATCTGTAATTAAAATATCAGAAGGTTAAAGAAATGATTATCAGTGATGTTTGATGTTCTTATTTACAAATTATATGGTTTTACAATTAAAATACAAAACGACAATATAGAATAATTGATAAATCTCAACCAATATACAACGAAAACCTTTTTGCTATAATACTGAACAATCCATGCATCCTTATCTGATTGTTATTCTTCAATGGGATAATATATAATCATACCGAATCAAAAGAAAAATTATCAGTAAGTCTGCGTAAAATTACCTAAAGACAACTGTTTCATGAATACTTCTTAAGAACAAATAAATTGATTCACTGGAAAGTTTAGTGACCATAAATCTGACTCCAGTTAGATCGTTTCTTGATTACTACTAAAATATACAACCTAGCTACCCTCGTATATAATAAACTTAACTCGCGTTAGTGTATAACGGAATTAAAATAAGTCAAACACGATAATGGATTTTGAATACGCATACTTCATGCGATCGTTGATTTGAACGGACAATCAGGGAAATGCAACGAAGAAGGCGAAGTGAAATGAAATGATGCGCATTGCAGTTGTCTCACTTGCCTTTTCCACTGCGTGTCATTTCGTTTCGCATGGCTCTCTCCTCTCCACTTCATTTCACTGATGATCAGTTCAGATCAATGAGTGTACGAAATATACTCATCCAAACTTCATCCTCGTACTTGACTTGTTCCGTTATTAAATGACGCGATTTAAGTTTATGAAATTATACGAGGCTTGGTGGCATGCATATCTTCATAGCAATCATTCATATGATCCAAATAAGGTGAGATATAGGACCACTCAATGACTGGCTATCCTCACTTAACACTTTTTCTGTATAACCTGTGGTTATGAAGTTTTGTAAATAAATTTTTTAACAAGTGGAGAATCGTTATGTTGTTTTGTTTCTGATCAACCTCCACATGATATCTAGTTCTAAGTAGTCTCTATCCAAAACGATAACACGATAATACAATACAAGTAAACCCGAAATATTAGAAATTATTATAATTTTATGTAGTTTCTATTTAGATATATTACTCCAGTAAATGTAAACATCAATGTTTTAACTCCTGTCCCAACGAAACATTCTGGAGGTAAGAGGGGGTTATGTATTGACTTATCTTCTCTAACCAGTTTGATTGTGAAGAGTTTATTATTCTTCTGAATAACAAATGTAGATGATGTTCAAGAAAATAATGAATACTTCACTAATAAATTGCTTAACTCAGGTAACGCGACGAAAGTAAAAGTATTTACCTGATCTACAAATATTCTATATTAATTTGAGAGACATATTATAATGTAAATAAGCTCTATCACTTCCGTAACTACTGTATTCATTTTTTATCCAGTTTAATGCTCTATATATCTAACTACAACATGAAAGCTCGTTTTACTTATAAAAAATCTATCATAATGATATAATTCAGTCAGTCAGATAGACCCAGCGTAGAACCTGGTAAATGTGTACATCGGTCCAAGTTGTCATACCTCATTAATATCGCTAGATGAAATTGTCAGGGATAATCTCAAATTAGTAGAGGTAGTAAGAGTATTATTAATAATAGGAAAGATTAGGTATTTGAGATACAATTCCGAAAGAAATATAAATTAGCAAAGCACTAAAAAAAGACAGTCAATTAAAAATATTTTAATGTAATAAAAGTAGTTAGACTATAGTTAATTTCTGCAGACAAAAATGACACAGTTACATGTTAAGGTAGTTGTAATGATGGGCGAAATGGTTGAATGAAGCATTGAAATGATTGACTTTAGTCACTTGTTAACTTATTCACAAAACCAATCTGTAAAATAATAACCGAATTCATCACAACAATAAAAATCTTTGTTTGACTGCCTGAATGTATTTTTAAGTGTTGAAGTTATCGGTCAAAACTGAAGGTTACAAAACTACCAACGATCTTCCAGTTGCGTGCTATATTTAAACAGGAAATATTGGTTCAGCGAAGAGTTTTCTTTTCGGGAATTCATTTTCAAAGCTATACAATCTCAACATATATACTTATTTTTCAGGATGATAATAAACTTCTGTTAAGCATAGTAACAATCAGGTAGAATGAACAACAGTATCAAAAAATGTTAATCAGGGAAACTTATAATAGTTTTATCGTTAAGGGCCTAAATATTCATCATAAAAATAGTCAGGGAAATTATCATTGGGAAAAGATGGCTCAACATGATAAGATAAAATGTTGAAATCGAGATGAAACTTAATCAGGAGGATCATAGAAGCTTAGTAATCGAATACTTTGTGAACACATGTCACTCAAGCCAGACAGATTCTGCATTCATTCATCTGCCAAAAGCTGTTATATTGCACCTTCTTAACATTGCCGTAGTAATACCATACATCTGGGAAAACCAGAATTGTATCCAAAAGAGATCGATACAATCTCTTATTCTACCATGGTCTTAATGCCTCATAGTTTTTTCTCTTCATACTTTTCTTTCTCTACAGCTATCTGCTTCCCCTTTCATCTTTGTCTCAAACTGGTCTATTTCTGTTTCTTTGATGTGCTTTAAGCCATCGATTAATAAGGGTATTATTTCATCTATATTCCCGTGGCATACATACAAACGATTCGCTACTTTTTATTGAGTATTCATTTTAATTTTGACCAAATCACCTGTCCTTATAAGTTATTAGAATGATCATTTAATTATCTTACATATTATCAATTAAGATTATATCATAAGGCTTAAATTTTTATTTTACCTTAATTATAGGAAGAGAACCAACTATGTGATGTATCAATATGATTTTAAGTTTTACTGTAAATAAAATTTATCACATTAAATCACTTTATTAGCGACATCATTGTCTATTAGCTCTCAAAACAATGTATTGACATTATGAGTAAAGAAATTTTGTTTTACATATCGATTGTCCTAATGAAGTCAACAATGAAATTTACGAACTTATAACTTAACATTATCACTGTCAATTAATATTAGAGACTAGATCCATTACAAAACTTATGATAAACATCAATAATTAACCATAAAGGGTATAGTATAGTATATATATATATAATACAGACTATTTAACATTCCATCACAATCATTTTCTTCATTCTTTCTAAACAAAAAGAAAAATGACTTATTTACTATTCTTTGTCTTTTAATATAAAGATATTTATTATTAGATGTTAAACAATTTCATTTCGTTATTTTTATATTTTATTATGATACGTATATCTGTTTATTTATTGAAAGAATGTTTCCATTGAATAAAGTAAAAATATTTGTCAAAATATCATCTCAATTTGATCCTGTGTAAAGAAATAAATAAAATGAAATGAAATGAATAATACGTTGTGTTTTTGTTTTTAAATGTAAAATGAATTGTTTTTACCAATTACTTATCGAATATCTTATAGAAACAAACTTGTTTTCATTTTGTTATCACTACTACTCATTAAAAAAACCCTACTACTGTTTATTTACTTATAATTGTTTCTAGTTCTCAATACTGATTTGATCATTAAGTGTATATTAACACCTAAGGGGGAAAACATTTAATGAACTAAGAGATATTATTAAATACAATCTTTAATAAAAGAAGTTTTTGACGTTTAAGTGAAACTAATTTTGATATAGTTATTTTAAATTTGTTTGTAAATTGTACAACAACTCCTAAAATGATCAATACACTGAAGGAATTCTTCTGAATGATTTATTCCTTCAAAGTTTTATATTTTAATCAACAAATAAATTTCAGAATGTTGAAGAGATTTTGGTTGGAAATTTGTCAACCAAAGATGTTAGAGGTTTTGAATTTTTCAACCTCTTAAAACTTGCTTGTTTCTCAGTTGTAAAAACTACCATGACATCTGATCCAATGAAATATGATAAAATGAAATTTCAGAAAATTGATTAACCTCAAGAGCAAGTTCGTTTGGTTAAAGTTTCATTTTAGTCTAGATCTAATAATTGTAATGGTACAACTAATTTTAAATTATTACTATATTGTGTTATATAACATTTTGTGAACAAATGAATTATTTACAAAATATA